TAGGTAGAAGCCCCCGTTCGATTCGGGCCGGACCCATAAGAAAAAACGGACTGTGTCGTCTTTTTGTGCTCTGCGTCTTTCCCACCCGGTCGAGAAGCAAAGCAGGTGGTAGTCCAGTACATACCCCACAGCAGGAAGCATCCATAGCGGTGCGAGCACCGTTCCCCTACTCTGGGTTGACTCTGGATTAACTCTCGAACAGCTGGCGATGTACTGCCGGCGTAGTCTCGGGACCAGACTGTATGATATTACAACTGACGAGCAAGTAGTTGTAGTACTGCCGGCGCTGATGCATTTGTAGCTCCGCTGATGGAACATTTCTCGTGTGGCCTGTCGGCATGATATGATCCTCGCGCTGTTCCGTGATAGCCCGAGGCGTGAAATTAGGCAGCAATCTGGCTGAATGATGGCATTTCAGTAAGTAGGGATGGAGATGAATGTGGATCATGGTGGCAATCATCCGGATCAGTGTTGAGATGCGTGGGAAAAGATGCAGTAAATTTTGCAGGCCATCAACCATTCAGCCCCACAGAACCCTCCTCTTGACAGAGTAGGGGATCACTGGAATCTGGGCAGACCCAATTTCTCAATGGCTGTTCGTCCCGCATAAAACCAACATTCGAAGCACCCACCAGCAGGGCTCGGTTGCGCTTGGAGCGCGTCTACTAAAAATTCGCAGATATCTATCCATAGTAAGTAGAACCCCCGTTCGACTCGGGACCGCCCCCCTGAACTCGATGCGTGTCCGTTTTTTTTCCATTGGCGAATTGTTGCGTGCGCCGGTCTTTCTTCCTTGTCCAAGGTTCCGTGTGTGTACACACCAACAGGGTCCGGTTGCGCTTGGAGCGCTCTACTCAAAATTCATTGCAGAGATATGAATCGTAAGTAGAAGTCCCCGTTCGATTCGGGCCCGACCCATTAATAGTGACCTCAGCTTTTTGTGCTCCGCGTCTTTCTCAGTATATGTAGACTGTAGTCGCCAACAACCAGCAAAATAATCACATAACAATAAAATATCGCCCTTTACTTTATACAACAAGCAACCCCCTCGCCACACACCTCGGCATCTCCCTCTTCACCAGCTCGGCGACATTCCACGGCACAGCCCTACACCCTTCCGCACTACTACTCCTCCAGCTCCCTAGTCCACCATGAGTCTCAAACGCAGAGTCCCTAGGCAAAACAACACCCGCGGCCTTCCCACCCATACCCACAACGACCCTCCTCAACACAGGAAAACACGTCGTATCACCCAGCCTCTCATCCGCTTTGGACCAGGCAGCGGGATCCCCGACAGCCATAGCCGTAGTGCTAAGCCCGATTAACGCATTCATGAACCGTACTTCGAGTTCTTCGAGTGCGGGTCGTGTGGGGAGGTGTCGGAGGAGTAAGAGATGTGGGGGGACGGCGGCTGGGGTGCATTCAATGGCGAGGGTTTGGAGGTTGGTCAATAGGTGGAGGTGGAGTGTGTGTATAGCGGCTTCAAGTTTAAATTATAATCAGAATTCGATGTGAAGAAGAAAGGGGGAAGTAAGGAAGAATAAGACGCACTGAAATCACACCCATGAAATGCCAACGTGCGAATCTCCCCGGCCCACTCTGTCGTCGTCAAGTACCGCTCGACACCCGCCCACTGTTCAGCGAGTCGTACCTGCTTGATCACGAGCGTCGTTATCGTTATCCCTCTCAACGCCCCCTCCGGATTCCTCGCAACCAACCACTCCACCACGACCGTATTCCTTACAACCAACGTATGCAGCCTCCTCGAAAGTTGTTGCCGCCGATGCCCATCCGGTTCGTCGTCCTCCCCATCGAATGTGAACCTCGCCGAGCCCCCAACGTCCAACGACTCGAGCCGGGTAAACGCACATAGATGCTCGATGAGCCTCGCCGCGGGCATATCATTATGCAGCTCCAGCACCAAATGCGTTAACGACGCAGCAAACACCGCAGCGTGAGTCGGCGAGTAGGTCGGGCAGTTGACGAACAAAGCGCGCGGGTGCACACCCGCGTGTGCCAGTGCACTCAGGATCCTTGATACCGGTGTCATCCCCCAGCTTCGTTTTGAGAGCACTATGGCGCGCACGTAGGGTGTGATCGTTGCGTGGGGCATGGGTAGGAGTGCGAGGAATTCCGTGACCGAGTTGGGTTCGGGGGTCCAATCGGCGGAGAGGTTGAGTGAGGAGAAGAGGTGGTGCCTGCACCGAGGGAGCCATTGTTTGCAGACCAGGCTGCATGCGGTGAGAGTGGGGAGGTGGGTGGAGGAGGCGTCGATGATGCACTCAACTAGCTCTATGGGGAGGCGCATAGCATACGGAGACGGGTGGGAGGGAGAGGGAGAGGGAAGATAAGCCCGTGGTAATGTAATGGAAGCTGGTCATGATTTGCGAAGACGTTGAACTGTCCGGTACGAGACGGGCTCTCACGGGCCTCCTCTGCCGGTTCTTTGCGTGGGTCCAAAGGCGATTCTAATCAAGGCCATTTGAAATCACCGTTCTCGTCCGTTGGTGTTGGGCAGGTGACCAAATAATTACATAACGGATGTTCTATGTCGTCGTTGAGAAGAAGGAGAGGTCGACAGTAGGTAAATTGATCGAATGGGAGTTGGAACTCGGAGTCGCGAGAACGGTGATGATGGATCGACACCGCGGAGAAACTTGAAGCATGGACGGAGCGGAGAGTAACGCACACCGGAGAAGCCACCCACCAACCGGAGAGCGACCGTGAAACCGAGACCTGGAACACAGTGATATACTTGGATTCGGGCAAGGATTCGGGGCCGATTTATCCCGGAAATGGAGCCGCGATCCACCCCTCGGAGAGAGAGTCCAGACAGCATCGGAGTATCTGAGGACAGGATGCGACAAGATTGAAGATGGTGGGAAAGCGCAAAAGGAAAGGCGTCTCGTGATCAATCAACACAAACAACCAAACAAATATGCGAGCACGGCCATCAACCCGCTGTTGATCTAATCTACCGATGATCGCCCAATCAACACCTCAAACGCAAGCACTGTGAATTAACGAAACCCTGTTGTTTCGAGCGTTACCCTACTCCAACCCTACATACCCCAAGCAGAACGGAGACCGGGGACCCTATACATAGGGAAAACTGGCAAGTGGCTGCCGGGCGATGGGAGATTACCGCCCGTCGTGGGGTATTCAGATTTCCGCGGGGATGGAATTGCATCCAAGAGTAAAGTTGCCGGACGGGACGCCCACTAAAACGCCGTCATATTTTGGAACGTCGGAGAGCTGCGAAGCTATAATGATGATGATGCAAATCCGACCGAATGGAGCATATGGGGTGCGGGCTGCATGTGCCATCTCGGAGTCGTTGGCGACGAATTGCTTCGACACGAGGAGCGTCCTTCCTTGGCTCTTCCACAACGCTCGAGTGCAGACTAAGACGAGTCTCACTTTTTGCCCCATAACGAATTGCAGACACTGCGTAGTGCTTGTCGTGCATAGTCCCCGGAGCTGCTTCGCCAAGGCAACGACGGTCGACAGGGGTGCGGGGTAGCTTCTCCATATGGTGCCGTGTTTGAAATGTGCCAGTTGAAATGCCAATGTCAAGAATCCGACCGGGATAAGCAGAGTCTTCGAGGTGAGGAAGCAGAGGTCGCGTGCATGGGTTCAGTGCAAAAGCATGGCCATGGCTGATTAGTTGGAGCACGTTGGAGTAACGTCGGAGCGGTGGACCTTCGCTTGGATTTTGAATTAGGCATTATTCGCGTGATGATCGTCCATAAAACCTGTGCAAAACTTGACGTGCCTACATAAATAAGCGACGGGTGCCCGCAAGCCTCCTCCATCTGTTACGCTCATTCACGCTCCCTGCCAATTTTTTTTCTCTTTCCTTTTGACTTGCCCATCCATGTCTCTTCAATCTTCCTTCGACGCCGCATCCCCGCCCACGCCTAGCGCCACGAAGAAGATGCTCAAGCGTCTCTCGTGGCGAAAATCCGCACCCGTAACGCCCAACGGGTCCTACTCCTTCACTGTACCCCCTGCCTCGGACGACACCCGGGACGTCTCTCCCCCTCGCGTCACATTCGAGGCTCCCTCCATCTACACCCCAATCGAGGAGGACCCAGACTCATACCCAGACGCCCCGCCCACTCCCAAGCCAACGCCCAAGGCCCGGAAACGTCTCTCCTGGCGTCGCTCGGCACCCGTGATGCCAGCCTCGGCACCACCGGCCTACCCACCCTACCCCTTCGCCTCGCAGCAGCAAATGCCGATGCAGCCGCAGCGGGCATCATCAGATGCCATGCCCTCGCACTACGCACCCTTCCACCACGCCCCGACTCATCACGGCCCCACCGCCGCTGCCCACGCACGTGCCATGCGTCGTCAGAGTCTCCCCGTTCCCCCGGTCGTTCGCAGGCAGCCTAGCACCAAACACTCATTGGCCCGCGCACCCTCCATTGCATCCATCCAGTCCGTCGAGTCTACGTCATCGACTGCTTCGTCCCGCGTTCAGGGCCGTATGCGCCCTTCGAACGAGTCCCGCACGACGCTCCATTCGTATGTCCAGGGCCGGAATAATCGGAGGAAGTCTACGCAGATGCTTTTCGTGCGTGCCTACCTTCTCCTTGCTTCTTCCTTGCTGATTTAGCTGGTAGAACGTCGTGTCGTCGTTGATGCTCATCATGCCCTCCACGACGCGGTAGATGGATTTTTTTGGTGGAGGCCGGTGCGACGACATGCGATCGAGCATGGATGGATTTCTTCTTCTTTCTTCTTTCCTCTTTACTTTACCAATTTATTTATTTGATTCGATTCGAGGCGATTGTTGTACATACGAGACATACCTCTTCATCCTTTGCGTCTCCCTCCGAGGAGGTGTCTGAGGTTGAGCGAGACGTCGTCGTAGAACACGCACTCATATTCAGCGGCCAGTGAATACGCTTAGTGAAGGCCTCTTCCGACGAGCTATTGTACCCCTGCCGAGTCTACAGGGCAAAAAAAGTAGAAATTATCTGGGCAAGATCGAACTCTCGACCAGGGAGTCGAACCCTGCTCTCCCGCGTAAAGAGGGAATGGAGATGCAAATGATGACAAGCGGGTGTACTGAACCGATATACTAGTCAAGAATGAACGAAGTGCCATTCCGTGGCTTCCAGGGGCACATGATCAGGTCATCCTTTGTCAAGGCTTGGTCAAGGCTCAACTTTTTTCTGAATTGACTGCCTCACGTCTGATTAGTCTATAATAAGCCACTCTGCACCGATCCGCCGCAGGGTTTACTTTCCACATGCCCAAGCAGTGTTGGTGCGCTTGTTGTTGTTTGGGTGATATCACGCGATCACGTCACTCTCGTCTTGCTCTCATCACCGCGAATGGCCTCCGCCGACGGCACTCTCCCCAAGCTCACCCAGGAACTATCCACACTCCACATCTCTCCAGTCGCCCAACCGTCAGCGATATCGGCTCTATTCCCCGAAATCCTGTGCTACATCTTCATCTTGGCGCGACCACCCCTCGAGGGCCACAGTTCCCTCGACAACCGCCTACCACCCCAGAGGCAACTCACAATAGCAGAGCCGGGTTTCCGGCAATTGGGTTCCCCGTGGTCGCTCGCGCAGGTCTGCTCCAGTTGGCGTTCCATCGCCCTCGCATACGGACCTCTATGGAGCACGATCGTAGTCCCGCAGCCAAACCACCGCGCTTGCAGTTCTTTCTACCTCAAGTTACTTCTCGAGCGCTCAGGCTCTGCCCCGCTGGACGTCTTGATTCGATTCAATGGGTGGTCGCTCATGGGTGAAATGTTCCACACCATCGTCGTGCATCGTGCCAGGTGGCGCAGCCTTTGGCTTGAATGCGACGCGGGGCGGCTTCCACCGTATGAATTCAGCGATTCAAAATTGGGGGAGCTGCCGCTGCTCAGATATTTGACGCTCAGCGGTAAGCGTGGATTGCACCTCAACAAGTGGTTCTACTCCATGCTCAGCGACGCGCCGAATCTGCAGAGCGTTGCACTTCGCAGCCCCGGACACAACACTCATCGCCATATAGTCCTCCCATGGGCGCAACTCACGTCGTATCAAGGCTCGTACCGAGACCCATCCGTACATTTCGCGCGTCTCTCCGCCGCCTCGCAGCTTGTCGAGTGCGATTTGGACTTTGGTGACTCAAACGTGCCAATTCATTTCCCTTCCGACCTGGGCGTCGTCACCCTCCCACACCTGCGTCGCCTGGTGATCACCGACACCGAATTCCTGCAGCACCTCGTCGCACCGTCCCTTCAGGAGTTGCAGGTTCACGGCGTCATCGACCACGTACCTTCCTTCATTCATCGATCCGCTTGTGTCTTGACACGGCTGACGCTCTTCATGTGCACCTCCCCCGCGTCACAGGTCGTCACACTTCTTCAGCTCACATCTTCAATCACGGCCCTTGATCTAGATTTTTGGGGAACAGCCGATGGTTTTAGTGTCGGATCCCCCACTTTCTTCGGATCGTCGGTCGGTACCGCCGTCCTCATCAACGCACTCACAATCCGCGCCGATGACACTGCTGTCAAGCCCATCTGCCCTCGCCTCGCCTCACTCTCTTGGGGAGACAGACACGACGTCCTCGACCGCGAGTCTTTTGCCAACATGGTGGAATCGAGATGGCGGTTGTTGGATCCTCCTGGTCAACTACGCTTCGTTGGGATGTATTTTCGACGCAGACGCGTGGGACGGTAGGTGCAGGGTCTCGTTCAGGAGGGGCTGGAAGTGGTTCGGAGGTTTCGGATGAAGGGAGTGCGGGCGATGGAACGGTGGAGAGAGTAAAATTGCAAGGGGTTTGAAACTTTGCCGTCATGAGTTCGACTAGCCTCGGTAAGGAGAATGTATTGCCATTGTACTTGAAATGCTCATTTTCATGATCACCTTGTGTATCAATTGGGTCTTGTTCCCGAATCAGTCAGCCTTGTACTTGTTTCGCGTATGTAGGAATCTAATACAGTTACAGCCCTGGAGTCTAAATCGAATACAAAGCGAGTCCAAGAATCCACCCAACAACCATCCATCCCTTCTCCCGTTAATATCCGGGCGGCGTAACGATGTGGTGCAAGCAACGACTTGGACCCAATCCCTGTGGAAGCAACCTCCTACACGCATAATCCGCACACGCACGCGGCACGGACGGCTGCTTCATAAAGACCTCAAAAACAGCACTTGGGAGCTGAGCCTCTTCGTGCGGCAAATACCTCGCCACGACCACCTCCTCGTACCCCGTCGTAGGACCCACAACACGCTGTACCTCGACAGCCAACCGTATATTACGGCCCCGAGCAACGGACTCCATCATGAGGTACAGAATCATCTGCCCGTTCGTCACTTGCAACCGCTCCTGAATCGTCGCAGGTAGCTCGTATATCAACGGATCGATCTCGACGTGTCCGATGCGCAGATGGTGAAACGTCGCACAGCGCGGCTCTACAGCAAAAACAATGGGAAAAAAAGAAAGGAAGGAGAGGACGGACCCCGAGAATCAGAGGGCGGTGCGATGACGGAGGAAAGGAAACACAGCTGACTGCCATATGCCGTCCATTTCGCTGTGCGGTACGGAGCACTCGGGGGTGTGTGCCGGAGGGTGTATTGCCACGGATGTTGGTCTCCGCGCTCTTCCCAATCGAGCAGGCGCACCATTTGCAGTGGTGAGTGTGGGAACCCCGCTGGCATCGCGGCCTGCCAGCGCTGTGGGTCCAGGTGATGGTTATATTGTCCGATCTTGAGCAAGTTGAGGTCTTCCGTGGCACGAACGATGAAGGAGTTCCAGATGGGCCACGCTCGGATGTCGACGGTCTTTGTGTTTGGTGCAATGAAGCTCATACTGGGAAAAGACGGTGGGTGACGGTCGAGGGAAGCTCTCGTATTTATACCTGCGCCCTTCGGCGGGCGGTAGCCACTCATCCGCCGAGGCGGTAGGATGATGTAGAATGGAGGATGTCATTCAGTGCCGAGAGTGTCATGAATGTTGACTCGACTCACATCCCTTTTTGAACAGCTTGAGCAGAGTACCGCAACGAAGTCGGCGTCTGAAGTCAGACGGCGCGCGAGAAGCAGGCGATAACGGCTGTTTTTTCATTCAAAGCGCGACGGAGAGAACAAAGGGCAACCTTTGTGGGGCAGATGATCAGACGGAGCCAAAGCTGTTGTATTATGTGCTCACCGTGTCCAATCAATCACTGGATGCAGTGAATGATTCGAGTAAGGGATTCTGAGAACGTGAGGGCGTCATCGAGAAGGGTACGTTCCGAGCGCTCGACGGCACGATTCAGCAACAGCCCAAGTCCAACATCCACGTTAACGACACACGCACTGAGCAGAGAAAGGTCACGTAACCCAAGCTGGGAGCAGAGGACGCTCGACAGCATCATGCCGACATCCACAGCATCGAGAACGTAGTGCCGTAAGACGTTGACCCGAGGCGGTGATCACCTGGGAAAGTGCTCACTGCCGCGAACGCACACGCACAGGCCCAAGGGGAAACCGAAGTCCAACCGAAGGGCGCCGATCCTCGAGCTTCAATTGCACGCGTAGAAAAAAAGAAGCTCGTCGAATCGGAGTGAGAGTCGGACTCGGTTGCACTTCCGTGGTTCGAAGAAGCGGGAGTTTGATGGGGGTGCCGGGATGCCGCGGCAATCAGTTCCCGCGTTCTACCTCCCGCCATCAGCGCATCGGACCGACGCTCACGTGGTGATCAAGAAGGGTGATTGATGCAAAGCGGCGAAATTTCGGTCTGTCGGTGAGGCATGGATTTCAGTGCTGGTCCACATGAGTGAGTGCACTCACTGTGGCTCAGGTCGATGGTCGCAGAGGTGCGCGAGTGGTGATGGGCAGGAACAACGAGTGCATGACCGTTGTCCAGCGCAGTCCGGTGAACTGCGGTCTGAAGGCGGACAACCAATGCCGCGAACTCGACACACTCACATCCAATTCATACCCAAGAATGTTGACTATCATTACCAAAGCTGTAAGGTCCATGACTTGGAATGGATGGAAGCTCCTCGTAAGTCGTAAGTGATCCACGGCGACTATTCGTTGAATGAAATGTGAAATAATCTGTGAATTCGGAACAATGCACTTGCCACAGTAATTCATCTTCACGACGAACATCCTTCCCTTCCAAGTGATGATAATTATGTTCAGCGGGCATCTCGGACGACATTTGACCTGGTAATAGGGTATATCAAGAGGGTGCAACGACGCTCTCACCAAATGACCGAAGATCCGTTAGCCGCTTTTCGAGCGGTCGAACACGTGGAAGAAAAGCCACCGGCTTGAATACGCCGTGGCCAACACGCCAGGGGGTCATTGGACATCGCGCCGTGGCTGTCGGGTGAGACCGCCAGACGCCGACACGGAGTGCGCATCAACCAACGCGTTCCGGGTACAACCCGGTGGCTTCTGATCCCCACCCGCGAAATTAATGAGAATTAATGAAATGGAGTACATACCGGAGTCGGATCCGGGAAATGAACTTAATGAATGAGCCGCCTCGTAAGCATGGTGTCAGCAAACAACAACTCGACAATCCGGGATAATTATACGTACCCACGTCCGTGGGAGGTAACCACCCGGCTTCATACATTCCTAAACCTAAACCTCGTGGTCCATTGTATTAGTTCAAGCGAAATGAAAGTGGGAAATAGTGGACATACATTACCCGCGCATCTCATTAATGACCAACCCCTGCATTTGCCCAGAACGAATAGGGTTTCCAGAAAGAACTTAGAAGGTCGGATGACGATGCCAGTTCGACCAAGGATGAGTAAGCATCGTCGGAGATGAGGCGTTAAGATAAAGACCCTGCAGGAATGATCGGCAGCACATTCTCGATTCCTCTCTTTTGTCTTTGTCAAATGTTTAATATCCGCAGAGAAGAACGTAGAACAGCCTTTAGAGCGGTCACCCCGGTCGAGTTATTTTCAGTGTCGAGAGGAGAGAGAAAAAAACCGAGAAACCAAGTTACAGTTCCTTCCACCAATCAATGGCTATTTCTTTTTCTTATCCGTTCGTCGTCAAGTCCTGGAATCTGGTTTCTGAGGGGCCGAGAAGCCCGTGAGCTGGATAGGACGGGAAGCCGTACCGCCCAATGTCGC